TCTGTTCTGCAGACTTGAGTCGGACCAGAAGTCCTAAACCTGTCTCTTATACACATCTAGATGTGTATAAGAGACAGGTGTTACACAGCTTGGTTATTCCAATGGTCATGTATGAACATGCAAATGGTCTCTTGATGACGTATGAGCGGGCACAACACAACTGACAGAAGACGGAGTAGCCGTAGCGGCCGGCAAAGCAGAAACAACAACAGAACTAGTGACAATCAGCGTTGACATCTTGGAGGGTGAAGCATAATCCGCAAGACGTTGAAAATTTGGAGGAGATGCTGCTTGAAGGGGGAATCTACGAACCGAAGCGGAATGAGGAGTGGAAGAAGCAACCACGAGAGAAATTATTTTGAGAAGTTGTTGTATCCGTGCATATCTGTGAAAGGGTTGGGGAATGGTCCCTTCTGTCGGACAATGTGGCAAATATAATGCCATCCTAGTAATCTCCTCATTAGAGAGAGCCATGAACTTATCGGTAAAAAATGATTGCAATATGGAAGAAGCCTCCAAATCCGAAACATTCAACGGGTCTGAAGAAAGAGAGAATCGTGGTTCCAACCGTATATCATTGAGTTTATTTTTTTTCCACTCCAGGAAGTTTTTCCATATTCGTCCATCTTTCACGATTCTGTCACTTTTGACAAACATTTTAAAAAGCACCTCAGTCAAGACATTTTTGATGTCAACCTTCTTTGCATCGTCAAACCATCAAGCAAGGTCAGCGCGTGGATTCAGAATGCGAATTGTGGATGCATCGTTATAATCGGGCACCACAATAACCCCCGGAGGATTTTGTGTTAGCGATGTGGCGCAAACATCTCTTTCGCGTCCACTGCGTTGAGATTGCGAACACGAATCATGAACACGTGCACGTCAAGCGAGCGGTGCACAAAATGCAAGAGATGAAAGTGCATCATCAGGGAGCGTTTTTAGCACTCTCATAATCTGAGTTTCCATTTCATTAACAACAGGTTCCCGTCCCACCTGATTATTAGCCAAGGTAGGCTC